GGGACCATATGGGATGCTGGGATTGAACCCGGGTCGGCCGCATGCAAAGCAAATGCCCTATCCGCTCCACTGTCACTCTAGCCCCTCTTGTTTTCTCTTCCGACATGCAGAGGGCTTGGTGAAAACAAAACAGGTGTCATTGCAAAATGCAGGTGAAGCTGCTCTGTAAGCTGGGCTGGGTGGGGTGTCTCCCTTGGTCCCCTGGCCTGAGCTGGCTCTTGCCACAAGGTGCTTCCTTCTCCTGGACTGCAAAGGCTTTGGAGAAGCCACTCCTAGGGGCGTTTCGGTGGGTGGTAGTGCACTGTTGCCTTCGAAGATTGGGTGGACTTTCTTTGGTGGCCGTCAGCCCCTTTCCCTGGGTCACGTCTGAAAATCTATCAGCTGTGGAATGAAACTGAAGTTGGTGGGCCCCAACGGCTGGCTTATGTGAAACAGGAGGGAGAGAGAGAGACGGTCACTTTCTCCCGATCTGCCTCTGCCATCCCGAGACCAGCTGAGAAGGCGAGGGCTGATGAAACCATGAGCCCCTGCTCGGCACTGCCCTGAGTGCTGCCAGCCCCACAAGGTGGCTGTTAAGACACACCTGACGCCCGCCGGGTCCTTCTCAGCTCAGGAGTTGGGCCCCACCACCCGATTTCTCGGGAGCCGCAGACTCAGGCTGGAGCGAGGAAATGAATTTTGCGGGAACGGGAAGTAAGTCCTAGGCCTTACTTGGGGGTTTTCAGGTACTTTGTCCTGTCTCACAGAAAAGAGTTTCAGGAGAAGACAGCAGTGAGGTAAAAACAGATTTTATTTGGAGGGTTTTAGAAAGGGGAAGGCGGGGGGGGGGTGTGGAGAGAAAAGGAGAGAGGAGAGAGGTAGAGAGATGAGAGAGAAGAGAGAAAGAGAGAAAAGAAAAAAGAGAAAGAAGAGAGTGTTCAACGAGCTCAAGAGAGAACGTGGGTTTCTCCAAAGGCAGGGAGCGCTCAAGTACACCTCAGGAGGGGATGTGGGTGGTGACACATGCGCTGGGTCTCAAGGACACAAGCAGCACATGGGCTGGGGTAGCATATGTGCTAGTCAGGGCCTTTCCCTGACTCTGTGCTTAGGGATCACTCCTGGAGGACTCGGGACCAGATTGGGGTGCCAGGGTTTGAAGCTGGATCGGCTGCATGAAGGCAAGTGTCCTGCATACTGGATTATCTCTGTGCCCTGAGACCAACAGGTTTTACAGATGCTCACAGGGGGGCGGATTTGAACTCGAATCTCTGTGGATTTTTCCGGAAGTCTGTTAGGTTAGGTGCCGCTTTAGTTTAATTCCACCTGCTTGAATCAGTCATGTCCAAATTAGGTTTCACGGGGATCACAGTGGAGAAAACCTACTGTTCTATGAACCACCCCCATCCCCAACACACAAACACACACACACACACACACACACACACACACACACACACACACACACACACACCCCCAGAGAAAGATTTAGCACCAACCCTGCTTCTGTCTGGACAGAAATGAAATGATATCAGGACAGATAAATCATAGATGTGAAATCCCTTGTTAGGATAAGACCAGATAACTTGTTGGAAGGATGTTTCCAAGGCTGGAGAGAGAGCTCAGTGGCTGACCATTGAGAGAGAGCCCGGAGCACAGAGCCGGGAGGAGCCTCATTCTCCTGGGGGGGGGGGAGGGGGGCAGTAAATACAACCAAAAAGTAATAAAGATGTTTTCAAACTGTAAGCCCTTTCCCCCTGCTTCCCCCACAAAATGAGTAAACTTCCTGCCCTTGGCACTGTCTTTCCTGTAAGTAGTATGTTACTCTCTTTTCGATAAGATAATGAGATTACACACCCTTCCTGTTCTCTGTGGGGCATCTCCTGATGATGGCCCCTGGAGAGAATGATGGATGCTGCACGCTGACCCTGCCTTTGTCTGCCACTTCCACGGCACCCTCAAGCCTCATCCCCCTCCCCAGCCTGCAAGCCAGCTGTGGTCAGCAGTGTCCCTCCCCGGTTATTTGCATCCAAATGCCACACGCGGTCAGAGCCTGGGATCTGACTGGCCAGCGCTGGTGTCCGACCTCTCGCCAGCCCTGTGCACGTGGCCCCAACCACCCAACACGCTCAGCCACAGGTGGAGGGTATCTCGGAGCCCCGGCTAATGGGACCTATGGAATACAGTCTCTTGGTGATGGGCAGGACCATCTGTCCAAGGCCCCACGCAAGCAGCCCTCTTGGCCTGTGGGACCAGACCATTCTCTGCCATGGACCTTTCCTGTGCGTTTCTGCCTAATTCGAAGCAACCTCGCCTCATTCCCACCGGCTTCAGGAAGCACTTGCCGAGGAGTGGCGGTGGGCAAAACTGCCTCTCGACCAGGTCCAATGCTCCTCCCCACTCTCTGTTCTCTTTTTCTTTCCCTTCTGCTCCTTCCTGGACATCTTCAGGGCCGGCAGTTGGTTTGGATGGCATCTGTGTGTCCATAGTGACTTCTGTTTTCGTTCGTTTGTTTTTTGGTCTTTGGGCCACATCCCCAGCTACGCTCAGGGCTGATTCCTGGGATGCCAGGGATCGAACCCAGGTGTGCAGTGTGCAAGTGCCCTCACCACTGTACAGTTGCTCTGGTCCCACATCCATAGTGCTTTTTGCAGGTGCTGGGAATGGACAGGCGAGTGAGCGAGGTTTTTTTTGTTTTTGTTTTTGTTTTGTTTTTTCTTTTTGCACCACACCTCGCGATGCACAGGGGTTACTCAGGAATCACTCCTGGCGGTGCTCAGGGGACTATATGGGATGCTGGGGAATCAAACCTTGGCTGGCTGTGTGTAAGGCCAATGCCCAACCCACTGTGCTATCACTCCAGCACCTAGTGAGTGAGGTGTTCTTGAAGCCTCACAGGGCTTGCTTGCCTTTCTTTCTTTCTTTCTTTCTTTCTTTCCTTCCTTCCTTCCTTCCTTCCTTCCTTCCTTCCTTCCTTCCTTCCTTTCTTTCTCCACCCAACAGTCCTCAGGAGTGACTCCTGGCTCTGCACTCAGGAATTACTCCTGGTGGTGTTTGGGGAACCATATTGGATGCTGGGAATCGAACCCGGGTTGGCTGTGTGCAAGGCAAACACCCTACCCGCTGTACTATTGTTCCGGCCCCAACCCCACTGGCTTTTCATCTGACCTTGGCTCCCAACTCCCTTTACTGAGCTCTTGCTCTCCACAGGTCACCCCCACATGCCTTTCTCTCCCGAATGTTGTGCCTCTGTCTCTGTGGCCTGTATTTTTGAGAATTTCTCGGGCAATTTGACAGCATGGGGCGGTGCCCTTGGTGCCCACAGAGGCGAATCCCAGGGTGGAATGAGCGACCCTGTTCCTCTCTCACTTGGAGTGTGGGCGGTTTCAGTGCTTCAAGCGCGTCTCTGCTTGGCACGCCACATCTCCTGTTTTCTTATATTGTCACTTCACTCTTTCTGCTTCACCAACTCCCACCTGAGGCTAAGCATGGAGCTGGGGGGGAGAAAGAGAGAGAGAAAGAGAGAGAGAAAGAGAGAGAGAGAAAGAGAGAGAGAAAGAGAGAGAGAGAACGAGAGAGAGAGAGCAAAAGGTATGAACTTGCATGCAAGAGGCCCAGTTTGATCCTTGGTATCCTCCATTCCCGCAGCATTGCCAGGAGAAATCCCCTCTTTAAAACATTTATGCCATTTATTTAATTTTTTTACAAAGCTGTTCCTCTTCCTTTTTTTTTTTAATTTTCATAAAGTTGTTCGCAATCATGGATTACATTCAATATTTCAACACCAGTCCCACCACCTTTACACCTTCCCACAACAAAGCTGTTCATGATCAGATTTCAATCATACAGTATTCCCACACCCATTCCGTTACCGGTGTACATTCCCCAGCACCAGTGTCCCCAGGAGGCACCCCTCTTGTCCCCCACTCCCCCAAACACCGAGCTTGGAGCAGCCTCTGAGCATTGCATTCTATGGTCCCCAAGGAAACCCCTAACGAGTGAATCAATGAAGTTTTAAATCAGGGACTCGTCCGTTTAGAAACTGTAGGTGAGGCCCCGTGTGCGGCCTTTTTGCTTTCTGATGCACTTCTAAGGAGTCTTTATAATTCTCTGAAACTGTCATCTAAAAATCATTCATGGAAAATCAAGATTGTGGCTGGTTTTCTTTGCTCAGCAGCAAAGGGGTTGGGGACAGTGCAGTTTGGGGGAGTTTACAGATAGCTTTGTAAAAATTGAAAAAAATGGGAGGGATTGGGCCATGCCTGGTGGTGTCAGGACCTAACTCCTGACTCAGTGCTCAGGGTCCTTCAGGGGGTGTTTGGGGTCCATATACGGTACTGGGGATTGAGTTGGGACCTACCACATGCATGGTGAGCAGCCTAACCCCTGTGCTGTCTCTTCTGCCCTCTCATTAACATTTTAAACATTTTTTTTTTGGATCCTGGAGAGAGTCAAATGCATTTTTGCACATTGGATATATTTTATAGTAAGTTCTAAAGAAAAGACAACCAGGGGAAGTTGCTGTTTCTGTTCTGCTTTGAAACAGATCTGGGGGCTGGTGAGGGGTTTGACCTCCAGCTGCATCCTCCCTCAGGTGTGCAGGGAGACCACCCTAGGGTCCCCAAACTTCCCAAACACAGAGAATAAGAGATGTTTAGAAAGCAGGTCTCTCTGCTGTGAGCTTGCCCAGCGCACCCAGTTCTTGGCTCTTGAACTCACTGGAGATTTCTAGTCTCTTATCTGTCCAGAGCACTGTCTCAGGCTAGATCTGAGCCAAAAAATAGGAGGGGGAGGGAAGGGGAGAGGAGAGAGAGAGAGAGAGAGAGAGAGAGAGAGAGAGAGAGAGAGAGAGAGAGAGAGAGAGAGAGAGAAGAGGAGAGAGAGAGAAGAGGAGAGAGAGAATCAGTCCTTGGAGAGGGACCCCCTGGGTCCGTTCCCTCCCCGGGGCGCCGACGGGTACCGTGCGGGGCGCGCGCGGCCCGGGCGCGCGTTCCTGGGGAGCGGGGAGGCGGAAGGCGGGGAGGCGGGCGGGGAGGAGCGGGCCCGGCCCCTCCAGCACACCCAGATGACCAGCCTCATCCCTGCGGGGAAACTTGGGCAGTTACGCCCACTCGCTGGGCCGGGAGCCGGCGCTGGCGGCCGCTTCCTCCTCCGCGGCGAGTTCCGAGCGATGCGACGGCGGCCGGGAGCGGCGCGCGGGAGCCGGGGTGAGCTGCGCGGCCCTTCCCCGACCCGACCGGCTTCCCGGCGTGCTGGGGCCGGGTCGGGGGGCACGAGGCGAGGGATCCTCCGCCCGGGGGGATGGGAGCTCGGGACCCCGGGAAGGCCAGGGGTGAGCTCAGGCTTGCGGCTGGGGCGTCCTGAGTCAGCCCGTGGCCCTTCCCAGCTAGGTCTGCTCCGCGCTGCGCCCTGGCAGCCCCGGGATATTGGAAGTCCGGGCTAGGAAAACGCTTTTACTTTTCCCCATAACCCCTCCTTTGGCCGTCTTTAACCACCCAGATCTGGGGGGAAGGAGGAAGGACAACGGGGGGAGGGGGGGACACTGCAGTAAGTCATCCACCAAGGATGCACCTGGTCCCCCAGCTGCCCCGTGGCCAGCTCGCTTGCTTGCTCGCTCGTTTCCAGGTCAGTGTCGCTGGGAATGAACCCCGGGAAGGGCTGCGGATTCCAGTTGGAAGCTGGAATCTCGGAGCTCTGGGCCAGACTGGTTCCAGCAGGGGACTTTCTGGAGTGAAGCATCGGAAGTTTTGGGTTTCTCCTGAATTTGTTCTTTCACGCAGCCAACTGGAGCAGCAGAGCTGGTCTGTGTGCGCCTTTGGAGGTGCCCTTTGCTTGGGATTTGGGGCGTGGGTGATGTGTGTGGCTGGCTGGGTTGTCTTCAGATTGATCGCCCTGGCCTGTTGCTGGTTGGAGTGGGGAGTGGGAGTTGGCATGGCGGGTGCACTGGAATCAGGGATGCCTCACCATCCCCTCCCCCACTGGTATATCTGCTCTCAGCACGAATGAAGTTTTGAAGCTCTCCACCCCCATCCCATTTCTAATTCAGCTGTCCTTCAGCCTGTGTGATTTTTGCTCACTTGTATGGGGATCAGATGAGGCTTTGGGGGCTCCCGTATTTTCTACTGGATCAGCAGGTTAGTTGTTGGTGTGTGTGAGTGGGGGGGGGGGTGGGGGGGAGGGTGCCTAGAAAGCTGTGTTTTGTCTGCTTGCCCCTGTAAGCAGAGAATAAGCTTTCATGCCTTGGAACCTGAAAGGCAGGCAAAGAAGTGTACAAGTAAAGCTACTTTTCCAGAACCCAGTCTCATTCCGTGCACCCCGCTTCTGGGGGGTGCACGCAGCACTGGCTTGAGGTTTCTCTCAAACCCGGGAAGGAGCAGCGGCTGGCTGTCACTCAGAGGCGGGATCTTCTCTATGGACGCTGGGTACGGAGAGACCACCCGCTGCACCATTAGCCTTCATTGCTACCCACCCTTCAGCTTCCCTGAAATTCAGGGAACACGAAACGGAATTTCTTGTCACGCAAACCAGGCATGAGCCCCGTGGCAGGTGCAGGCTGTCTGCTCCTCTGGAGCTCCGTGTTCCAGTGCTCATCAGGCAGTTGGCAGGTCCGTGTTGCCCTGGTGATTGGCACGAGGCTCGGGCCGTCTCCCTCGCCCCCAGTCCTCCTGAGCAACCTTCAGCATGTCACTTAACAGGAAAGACAAACCGACCCAGCAGGACCTCGTGACTGTGACCGGGGCCGAGGGGACTGACTAATAGAGCTTTGCACCGACAGGGTCGGGTGGAACAGGAGCCCAAGGGAAGGGGAATGTGTTATTCATTGAGGGTTTCCCCATCACGCGCCAGTTACAGGTTCCCCCTCTTAAAGACATTTGCAGGGGGGTTAGTTCTACCCTGTGCCCGGCCTTTCTGGTGAGGGGTACCATGTCTGTGCCATTTTTCCTTCTCTTCTTGCTGCCTTCATTGAAAACCTGGCCTGTCTCTGCCTCTTCTTTTTTTGATGGAGTTGCAGATTACAGTTGTTTGTTACAAATACGACTCTCAGGAGGATCTTGTTTGGGGAACTCATTTCTTGGGCAAATGTCCTTCTATATAAATAAAAGCTTATGTTGACGGGTGAAAGGCTGCAGGTATTAGACCTTTATTCTGTTTTTAAGAACGGTGGCATTTTTAGACAGTTCTCGTCTTTTATCTCTGGGCTTGATTATGCGTGCATTTCTCTTCTTCATCAGCCTTGCCTTGTAATATATCCCCACCCTCCTCTACAACACCCCCTCCAGCCCCCCATTGTGGGTTGTTTTTTGTTTTTTGTCTTTTGAATGAATCAGCTTTGGATTTAGTTTGTATTTTAGATGAAGCAAAAGCAGGCACTCACTCTTATATGCATTAACAAAAAGCCTGCTATGCTAAGTCTGTCAGAAGTAGATTTTAAGAACCTTGAAGTCTCAGCGTCAATTCACGGTAAGCAGGGGGCTGGTATGAATTGATTTTTATGTCTTCGATACAGTGTTTTTTTTTTTTCTTTCAGTTTTATTAAATCTACTTGTGCTTTTGGGTGCCAGACAGGTTGGATCAGATTGTTCTGGAGAGATTTATCATACCCACGCCCCCGTGGGTGTGCCCTGCAAAATTGTTTTGGAAACATCTAGCTACAATTTACCTAAGACACACTGGCAACTCAGTGTGATTTGTAGCTGCCTTCAACCCACTTGATGACACACAATTACTTTGTACTTGATTAGAGCAAATTTGCTCTATTGAGGGAGGAAGAAGGGTTGATTGTTGTTCATATTTAATGCACGACTTTCGGTATTTAGAAGTTTTCTTCGAGTTCGTACCAGTAAAGAAACAAATCTTGGGGCTTACTTTTGGCTTCCTGCTGTGCTTGGATTCCTGCTCTGCCACTTGTAGCTGTGTGGCCTCAGGAAAATTGCCTAACCTCTCTGAGTTTACATTTGAGAGGAAGAGAAAATCAAAACTGCTGAGAGCGCTGTTGTGGGTTGTTTTTGGGGGGAGGGGGGTGGGTGGAGACTTGGGGCCACACTGGGCAGGGCTTGGGGTTATTCCTGTCTTGGTGCTCAGGAGGGGTCTCTGGCAGACCCAGGGGGATTGTATATGATGGCTTGGGATTGGCGGGGGGGTTGGCAGGATGCAGGGCAAGTGCTTGACCCCGTTGCCACCTCTGCAGCCCTGACCAGAGATAGGGTTTGTATGCGGGTCGTTCCTGGAAGGTGCCCATGTCCAGTCCGCTGCCCAGAGAGCATGTGCACTTAGCTCTCTCTATACCCCCCGGCCCCTCCCCCCATCCTTCCTCCTTTCTGAAGGCAGTTGATTGCCATGAATGACTCTTCTGGTGCTGTGCTCACTTCATTTGGGGCTAATGCGCTTACTAGGGGCACGTTCCTTATTTTCAGGGTTTTCATCTTCATATCCTAGTTGATTGGCATTAGACTGCCTGTGTAATATCTCAGTTTAATGCCATGTACTGTGGACATTAGGAAGGTCATACCTATAAATATTAGGCTTTCTTCAGTGCATCTGATTTTAGTGGGAGTCTTACCCCTCCCTCCCTCTCTCCCTCCATCCCTCCCTCTCTCTCTCTCTCATCCTCCCTCCCTTCCCTCCCTCCCTCCCTCCCTCCCTCCCTCCCTCCCTCCCTCCTCTTTCCTTCCTTCCTTCCTTCCTTCCTTCCTTCCTTCCTGTTTTCTTTCTCCCTTCCTCCCTCCCTTTCTCCCTCCCTTCCTTCCACTGAACGGGCATGCAGTTCTACATGGCAGACCTTGGATGTGTCGCTGGGATTGCTTCAACAGAAGCAGCAGTTGTTCAGTTCAGTTACTCCAGAATTTACCTGGCAGGTCAGTGGTGTGGAGGGTTGTGCATCAGTTTTGCATTGCCGTTGCTTTTCTGAGAATCCTTCTTCCAGGGCAGAGCATTCCTCAGACCCTGGGGCCAGTGTGGATTGTTTAATCCTGGGGCTGACCCTGTCACCAAGCAGGGCAAATGAAACTATAGGGCAGAAGAGATCGCTGGCACAGGGCTCCCCGCAGAGGAAGAGAAAGCATTGTTGAGGTCATTGGTCTTTCAGCCTGTGTTCTTGGGGGCTGTCACTTGGACAGGCCCAGGGACATGGTGTGAAAGGCGAGACACGGAGGGTATAGCATGGAGAGCACAGCCCGGAGGGCATGGCATTTGCTACTCAGGTATCTCCTCTGGCCTAGGTGGGGACCCCGATTCTCTGAGCGAGTGTCGGTGGAAATCTCAGAGGAATCGGCCTTTGCTGGGAGTTGTTTTCGAAGATGGCAGATTGGCCGGCAGGCCGTGTCTGCAGTCACCCGCTGCTGATGGTCAGCTCATGAGAATAGATAGTGCGTGTTTGGGAGGTTCCAGAAAGGGCTCTTGCCAGCCCAGATGCCAGGTGCTCTTCGCTCTTAAGGAGGATGCACGGGAAACAGAAACTTGTCTGGCTCTCATCGGGGACTGGAGGGGCGGGTGATGGGAAGAGAGCATCCTTGTGGGGAGGTTGGAGTGTGACGGGGGATTTGGGAGACCTTGTCTCAGCCACAGAGCCTCGTGTGGTTGGTGGGGACCATGTGCTGTTTGAGTGTTTGGATTGCCCTGGAGGGTGACACTTCTCTCTTCTATCACTCTCTCTTGTTCTCTCTCTCTCTCTTGTTCTCTCTCTCTCTTGTTCTCTCTCTCTCTTGTTCTCTCTCTCTCTCTCTCTCTCTCTCCCTCCCTCCCTCCCTCCCTCCCGCCCGCCCGCCCTCTCTGCACCTCCACCTGTGCCCCGTTAGTCATTTTGATTTATCTAACAATTCATCATACAACATGACTTAGCCCATAGGACCCGAGCAATAGTACAGCAGGTAGGGCTCTTGCCTTGCATGTGGCTGACCCAGGTTTGATCCCCGGCACCCCATATGGTCCCCCATCCCGCCAGGAGTGATCCCTGAGTCTAGACCCAGGAGTCTGCCCTGAGCACTGCTGCGAGTGGGCCAGAAACAAAAAACTCCTTGGGGCTAGAGGGGTGACCCAGGAGGCTAGGCTCTTGTCTCCTGTTTGTCCCCTACACCAGATGTACCCTGGGCACTCCCAGGGGTCACTCCTGAGTACAGAGCCCGTAAAGGGCCCTGAGCAGCGTTGTGTGTGTGCCCACCCCATGCCACCCCACTGCAAAGAATACTCCTTCATAGCTTTTCACATACTC